CACCTTGTGCCCTTTTAAATTCGTGGCCCAACAAAGGTGGGAAAGGGGGGGTAGGAAAGGAGTTAGAGAGAAATTGGTAAAGGGCCACAAAAAATGCTTATATTGTATAATGGTGAATATACTAATTATCCTGATTTGAGCATCACATGTCGCACATAGGTATTGATATTCAACATTGTACCCCACAGATATGTACTATCAATTACGTTTCAATAAAAAATTTTTTAAAAGATTCATGACCCACGATATGCACAACCACCCCAATCTGCAAGGCCCATAGAATTTCACTCAAGATCCACGACAGCCCAAAGTCTCACCAAGTACAACAGAAAACCAACAACAAAATTTATTCTCTTCTTAAATCATAAAGACACATTTTAAAATGCCCCCCCACGATAAAAAATTAATAAATCTGCTATATCTGAGAGAAAGTACCTGACAATTAAAAAAAGGATCAAGGATAGCCAGAAATATCCAGCCTTGGTAAAGTGTTATTGGTGTTAAGACTTTGGTGTTTATATACCATGAAGCTCTACTAGTTGTTTCCATCATTTGAAGATAATAATTCAATTACACAAAAATGTTCAGATGTTTTCAGTCAAATACTTTATTTCCATAATTCACAATAGCATACAATTTCTCTTAGACAAACCTCCAGAAGACAAATTCCTTCCAGTGAAATATTTGACAGTTGGACAATTTTTAATCCTAAATCAGATGGACACAAAATTGTTTTGACATTATTTTTGAAAAACATATAAAGGCTTTGCCTTTTAATTAAATCTAGAGATCTATTTCCTCCTTATTGCACAGCCACCACTCCATAGAATACTCTTCTCCTATGAACCCAGTGTCTTAAACAATTTTTAAAATTCTTACCCCAAGTGAAAAGGTTTATTCAGACAAATGCAAAGCACACAAGTAGAGGCAAGGACTGGTTAGCTCAGTTGATTTGTTAGCTCACTTCTACCAGAAGCTAACAGGTATCATATGGTAAAAATGACATTATGTTCAAAACAAGTTTAGGAAACACTAAGTTAATATAAAATTAAACATGTTTCTTTATTGCAGGACTTTTCTGGGTCTATATTACTAACTATGCAGCAGCTCTCTCTAAAAGGAAGGTATGGTATCTGATGATGCCCAAGCTCATTTCACTGGGGAGTTATTTTTTATTTCATGTTTTACCAAGTAGCCTTCAGCAGGAGAGAACATTCTGAGGAATATACTTTAAGAACAACAAATTAGAAGCTAGAATAAGGTGCTAATTAAAGTCAATAACAGGTTTTAAACAATACCTATAAGAACACATAGATAAACACATATTACCCTTTTCAGTAAGAAGTCAATCAGAACTTAGGCAGCTGCTATTTTGCATTAAGGACAGAATTCTGAATGACCCACCGCCTATAGAACGCACGGCTCTCTGCATATTTCAAGTTCAAATTGGATAGATGTAAACTTACCCAATTTAAATATTTTAAAAATCATAATGAAAAAGAAGACTTACCAACTGAAGCTGAGTTTTTAAGAACTGACTCCTTTGGGGCTCCTTTTTCAATTCGTATTGTGGCCCACTGTTCAAAAGCAAGAAGTATTAATTTAAACTGTTCCACAGACACAATGTAAAATACTTAAACCATACTTATAGGGAAGTGAAATTAAACATTAAGCCCTGGCACTATTTGAATTAAAGAGATACCCCAGTAAATCTCTTACACAGTAGTATTCCAAGTCCCAGGTATACTCTTATATTAGTTACAGATAATGCCCTAATAAATTAGGAAAGAACAATATTTACCCATCTAAACCTCCTCACATGCACCTGTGACCTAATAAATCACTCTTGGGAAGAGCCCATAAAGCCCATGAAGCATGTTGGGCAAAAGAGCCAGTAAAGCCCATGAGCATTCTTTTACAAGTTATGGCATGAAGAATGTTTGGGTTTGAAATTACTCAATCCTTCTAGGTCTCAGTTTCCTCATTGTAAAATGAAGATA